GCGCCGATGGACTTGCCCAGCTTGCCCGACTCTTTCTCAAGCCGGGCAATACACTCCGAGACGCAAGTCTGGATGTCGCCCCGGACTTTGTCCCCCAGCTTTTCAAGCTTGTTGGCGACGCCCTTCGCGATCTCGCCCAGTAGCGTCTTGGCCGTGGACTCCGTCTGGTTGTTCACGTCCTTCTTCAGCTCCTGCAAGTAGAGGTCGATGGCCTCCACCAGTTCTTTATGGTGGTTCATCGAGGTCTTGGTCAGCCCCGCATGCACCGCCTCCAACCTGGCGGCCATCTTCTCCGTCATGAGCCCGTTGGCCATGACTTTGTTGATCACGGCCTGAATTCTCGCTTGCAGGTCACCGAAGCCCATCATATCACGCGTGGCCTCATGCTCGCATGCAACCTGTAGGCGGACTTCCACCATGAGCCCCAGCAGCTCTTGCAGGATGGCCATGTGGGCTTGTTCCGCCCTGGTTGGTGCTCCAGGTCGGCGACGACACCACAGCCACAGCCACGTAGAGGCGATCATCACCACCACCGCCACGGCGATCTTTGGGTCGTGCGCGGTCACGACATAGCCCGCGAGCACTTCGAGGACATCCCAAAACAGGGCCATCGTTGACACTTCGGGGACGTCTAGCTTTGGGGGCGCGGGCTTGTGGCAAAACTTGCTGCGATGCACTCTGCATTCCTGACTGACCTTGCGGCAAGGGTTGGGGGGGGGAATTAGATCCGCGATATCACTCAGCTTCAGCCTAAGAAGCCTACGACAGCAGAAAACAAGCCCATCCCTCCCGAAAAGCAGCCCTAAACCACTAATTCCCAGCGTCCCCAACCAGCAACACAGTCGAACCTCAAAAATCCCATGCCTCCAACTGAAACGAGGGGACCCATCTTAGCTCCCTACCCCCATCCCTAGCCCTCTGCAACTTCGCGGGTCCTGAAGCAGTCACGCACTGTGTTGCAACGCGAAAGCACTTGGCGGGAGTGATCATGCAGACTAAAACATGCAGCTGACGAATATGTGAATCCATGCACTCCATGCATGCAAAGCTTGCCAAGCAGATTCATGCATTTAAATTCTTGTGTCAGAGCTACGAATTCTCAAATGACTTGTTCATGCATCTAAGTTCTTGTGTTAAAGCTACGAATTCTCAAATGACTTGCATCTCAGACCCCTCGGGAATCGACAGTCTCACGATGGGCAGCATTTCAGGGGTTCTCGTGGATTGAAGTTGGTTCTCGATCTCCTCCAGCCGAATCAATGTTGAGTTCAGTTGGGCGCGCAGGTGCACCATGTGCTGAATCTCGGCGACGTCCGAGCGTCTCGCCTGAAGTTCCCGCACTGTATCATGTATGATGTCGATGCTCTGCATGCGCTGACGGAGATCCAGCCCCTGCCAAATATTGTTGGCAGCGTCCATGACCCGCTTCTTTAGGTCTTGCACTTCCCCCCTGAGCTCCGCAATCGCAGCTTGTATTTTGGGCCCGTCCTGCCCCCCCCGCTCCACGAGGGTG